GCAGTGTTGAGGCTGGCCGCTCCAGCTGCTCCACACTGTGTTGCAGTTTACTTCAAAGTGTATCACTTCACAGTTGGTACCATTTTTGCTTCTGTTTTGCTTCCTCATCTTCCCTTATCCTGAAATTGCACACTTAATGCATTGCCTTTGGTCATGTACTCTGTGCCTTTATTGAAATTAACTAAGAGATGGAGGCTTGATTATTTTGAGAGAATATGAACTGAGAAATATTGATGTGTTCTTCTATCTTTCCCAATCATACTCTGCTCACTTTTGTAGATAGTCTGGAGGTCTGACCTCCCTGGAATTGTAACTCAAAACATAGCTGTCCCTAGGTATTTTTCAGGGACTTCATTACTTCTCAAAGCTGTGTGCTGTTGCTTCAGAAGGTGGTGTTTTGTTTTTTTTTTTTTAATCATAGCACTGTTTTCTGTAGATAAAAATCTATTTTAAAAATCTTGCATTATATATTTCCATATAATTATTTTTCTCCATTCCTTCTCCCTTCTCTTTCCAGTGCCCTTTCCTCCTTTTGTAGAGAATAGTAACTTGTCATGTGTAGTGATATACTTGGAGGGTGCTGTATCAAGCTTTGCTGTGATTTGGGGGTTAATTGAATCCAATTTTCTTTATCATCTGCTTCCTTTAAGCAAACCAAAACATTGGGGTTCTGTTATCCCACATTTCTTAGGAAAATGACTGCATATGAGACAAGAGAGTTGCCATAAACCAGAGGAAAGTTGTGAGACCTGTCCTCACACAAGTATAGTAGATACTCCAGTCTCTAGAGAGCCCTGAGCCAATAGGAATACCAATAGCTACAGCGACATATGGAAAGGCCTTTATTAAGGGACTTGCCTTAAGATTATGGAGCCTCATTCCTAGCAAGGCCTTCTACAAGCAGAGAATGCGAGGGGCTAGTGTGGACACAGTGGTTTGTAGTGCAGTGCCCAGGATCTGAGAACTTGGAGTATGGAATTGGAGGAGATATGGCCCCAACGTCTAGAGTTGGAAGGCTGTAGACCCAAGGTTAGGAAAGAAGAGTAGACATGTGATAGAATAAATTCATGTTTCCTTTGCATTTTGATGATCTGGGCCATCAACTGATTATGATTACATAGCGCTTGCCCGATTGGTTGAGGGTGAATCTTAATCAGTCCATAGATTCATGTGGCCAATTTGTTTATAAAATACTCTCCCAGACACTCTATGGTAGCTGTCTGGCTACTTTTCCACCTAAAGGATTATTCTAAAATTAACTGTCAACTAAAATTAAGTATTACAACGATCCTTAGTTGTGGATGGATGTTGTCTGGTAACACCTCTTTGAAAAGAAAGCACTGGTTTTAAATTTTCTTTCAGCCATCGTTCTTGAAATTTTAATTTGATTTCAGCTCAACTAATAAGTTATCTGTTTCTCAGTATTGTGTGTCTCTTAAATATTTTAATTTGCTGTTGTAAGTAATTTAATACAGATCATAGATGTTGCTAGCTCTCCCACTTTTTATAACAGCTGTTCCCTAACTCCTCTTTCTCCCAGTGTAGTTCTTCTTATGTAATTGTCACCTAATAATTGTACATTGTCATGAGCTCCAGTATGAATTCAACACATAGATCCAATGTGCAATGATCAAAGCAAGGGAATTAATACATCCATAACTTCATTTATCATTCTCTGTGTTAGATCACTTAAGTTCTTTTTCATTTTGACATGTTAATAAATGAATTATTACAGTCACTCATCTGTGGCGTGGAATGCTAAAACTTACTGTATTTTCTGCATCTAACCAGCTCTCTTTCTTCTCTCTACCCTACTAGCCTCTGGCAAGCCCTGCTTTCCTGTGTGTGTGTCCTTGGAGACCAACTCTTTTAATTTCCTCTTATGAGGGACAACATGTACTGTTTGTCTTTTATTTTTTATTTTTTTGGCCTGGCTTATGGCCAGTAAAATTTTCTATACATAAAAATGAGTTACCTATAATCATAATTAAGAATCCAGTATAATGCCATAGTATAACATGTATCTCCCATGCTTCCAAGAGTAAACATTTCTGAATGTCCGTTTCATTGCTGGTGTACGTTTCTGAAATAAAGCATAGTGTTGGGACTTGAAAAGGATACTATAACTATGGAATAGTTGATTCCTGGCATATTTAATGTACATTAAACTCCTGTAATACTATTTATTATGTGAGTTTACATATTTTAGTTTTTCATTTTGTGTCTAATCCCATTGGATGATCTAGTGCCAGGGCTTTGATGATTTCTGGCCTCATCATCATCATAATCATCGTCATCATCATCGTGATCATCATCACTACCATCTTGTGTGTACGTGATGTGTCTTAGTGTTTTATTGCTGTAAAGAAACACTATGACCGAGGCAACTCTTATAAGAGAAAGATTTAATTGGCGGCTGACAGTTTTAGAGGTTTAGTTCATTATTGTGGTGGGAAGCATGGTATACAGGCAGTCATGGTGCTGGAGAAGGAGCTTGGAGTTCTACATCCAGATGAGAAGGCAGCAGGAAGAGAGGAAGAGAGACTCCATGGGTTTTTGAAACCTCAAAGCTCACTCCCTAATGCTTTGACCTAGAGCCACTCCCTAGTGACAAAACATTCAAACCTATCAGACAGTGGAGGCCATTCTCATTCCAACCACTACAAGGTGGATACCTGTAACCACAGCATTCATGTGGAGATCAGAGAACAACTCTATAGGGTGATTCTTTCTGGCCTCTTACCTGAGGATCTAACACAGGTCTCCATCTTGCACAGCAGGCACTATTACAAAGTCTGCCTTCTCTTAAAGGGGCGTCTCCTTACATCAGCCTTCTTTTTTATTCTACAGGGTTAAGTGAAGAATGCCTCCTAAAGTATCTCCTTTTGAATGATGACATCATCCTTGTCATTGCCACTATCTAGTCTCCCAAGAATTCTAAAAATTACTAAAATTTTCACACACACACACACACACACACATTTTATTTTTGAATGCATGTGTGCATACGGGTGCATGTGTTGAGGGCAGAGAACAACTCATGGTGGTCAGTTCTCTCCACCATGGAGAACTTTGAGGTTTCAAAGGCCCCTGGTGTTTGAGTCTTTGAGCTTAAACTCAGGTTGTCAGGCTAGGTAGCGAGCCTCTGAGCCATCTGGGTGATCCCTCAAAATTGTACGTGAGGGTAAAGCCTGTTGAGAAGTTAGCTTAGAGGGGGAATGAAGCAAATGCATTTATTTACCTGTTTTTAACTAGACCAAGAAGGGTCATTAATGATTACTTCCTTTTGTCAGCCTATTAAACTGGAAGTTCTCAAATCTCAAAATGTCTTACCTGTTTCCCTCCTCTTCCTCCTTCCTCTCTACAGGGGCTTGCTGTGTATTCTAAGCTGGCCTTGAACTCCTGATCCTCTGGCTTCAACCTCACTAGTGCTCAGAATACCCATCCGTTGGAAATATTTCTGTCAGTGTGAAATGAAAGGAGTTGTGGTGTTTGAATTGTTTGATGTTACACAGACACGTGGTCTGCATTGTTGAAGAATGGAATCTGGGGGAATTTGGCTTGCTGGTTGTATAGGTGACCTGATGTTCTGATTTTTATGTATTCATGTGTAGTAGATCTAGAACATACGTGCAAATGCTGTATCCTCTATGGTCCCTGGGGAACCACCGGTGCTGTTCTCCACCAGCCTCTTTTGTCTTCAGCCTCCTATCTTTTACCAGAACAACCGCTTAAACAATTCATGGAATTAATATACTTAGGTGGTTATTTTACACTTGGGTTATTAGCCAAAATTAGTCTTATAGCAAAGTATAGGATGCTTAGACCCTTGTTATGTTTGATGTTGAGAAATGTTAGACTTTTATTTTGATCTAATTCATAAGCTCTTGTATTCATTCAGAAGCTCCATCTTTATGTTATTTAAATCATTTAGAAATTAACTACTTAACATTTTTGATAAGGAAAGGGAGAATGGATTAAAACCATAGAATGTTACGCCGTTTTCTTGCATTAGTAGTAGGTATCTGTTTTTATGCATGTGCTTGTAGCTGTCCTCGAAGGTGGTGGTTTATTTAGTTTTTTATTTTTATAGTATGCAGATTATCTCTTTAAAACAGTACAAGATAACTTCAGGTGCAGCTGTTGTAAAATAAATAAATATATTGAAATTTTGAATCCTAATGACCTTATGAAAGGCAGAAATCTGCAACTGTCTAATTATCTATAGTGATGTGAATATAATTTTAATAGCCTGCTGTGAGTTTAAAGCTTTTCTGGTAAGTGTTTTACCTGTTAAATGATCTAGAATGCTGTCTGTCTACCCAGCTCTCCTTCCTTTAGGCAGAGCCATGTGTAAATCATTCCAAAACAATTAATGCTGCTTTAGTCACAAATTATTGATTTTTCTGTTTCATAGAGTATACGGGGAACTGCTGTTCTACTTAGATTCTAAAATCAGGCATTTTAATTGTGTTTTCCAGGAAGATATGAATTTAAATGAAGATAAAAAGGCACCATTGCGGGAAAAAGACTTCAGTATCAAAAAAGAAATGGTGATGCAGTACATTAATACTGCTTCTAAGACAGTAAGTAAAGCTGTCAGCATGAAAAATAATGCTGCAGCGTGCAGTGTGGGAAACAATGCATTTGTCTAATGAAGTGCTTACGCTTGTGCAAAACTGCAACCGGAAGGCTTTGAATGCATAATTAGAAACAAGTATCATAATAAATTAGCTTAAGACATTTCTCTAGTATTCTCTTAAACTTTGTGTGTATGTGTCTGTGTGTGTGTGTTTTGGCTAGTGTTACTGGTAAGAAGCTTGGTAGTATGGTAGTGTGTCTTGAGATCGTACTTAGTGAATTAAGATGATCATTGATTTCCAGTGTCATTTATAAATGAAGATCATATTTGCAGTATAGAACTTTACCTGTCTAAGTTAGGATTCACAGTGGTCAATTCCATATTGTGCATTTTCCTGTGGGCAGATCATCTTGGAACCCAGTATAAATGTAAGTATTGAAAGGAACATTGTATCTCCCTATAATGACCAGTTCTCCAGGGAAACTTGAAAAGGAGTTGAAATACTGTCTAGGAAAGTATAATTGGCACATAGGGTCTGTTGTATTCATTTACTGAGAAACCAATGAGCTTAACAGAGGCTGTGAAATGTGGGGATGGGATGAAAAATACCGCATGGAGATGCTTTAGTTTGCTTTGTTTTTCTGTAATAAAACAAAGACCAAAACCAACCTGGGGGAGGGAAGGGTTTCTTTTTTTTATGCTTGCAAATTACAGCCCATCTTCAGAGGGAAGCTAAGGCAGGATCCTGGAGGCAGGAACTAAAGCAGAGGCCATGGAGGGATGCTGCTTACTGGCTTGCTCTTCATGGCTTGTCCTCCTGCTTTCTTATGGAGCTCAGGCCCAAGTACCCAAGTATGGTATTAGAGCCCACAGGGGATTCGGTCTTCTTTATCTGTTAACAATAAAGAGTAGCTCACAGGCCAGTCTGATAAAAACACTTTCTTAAGTAAGGTTCCTCCTTCGCCAAGTGCATCAAGCCAAGAACTGAGGTTAACTGTGACAGGAGGCTAACCAAGAAGTGAAAGGCAGGACAGAATGCTTTTGGCTGAATTTATAATAGGATTAGAAAGAAGTAGCTTATACACTGATTTTCACAGGATACTTTAACCTAAGGCCAAACTATGAGAACATAAATTATTTATACCTCATCTCTGTTTATCTACCAGACAGTCTGTAACTCAGCGCTATTTCTTTTGGAGGAAAGACTCAAGTGATGTTTAATTTTTAAACATATCTCTTGTTTTGGCAGGCTCATCTTCAATTGTAGAAATCACTATGAGTAGTGTATGCCTTTCCTAGCCTGGTATAAATAGGCTCTGGATTCAGCTGCTGTGACATTGAACAATCAACCAAAGAGCACACATGGGCTTGTCCGAGGCCCCTGGCACATATGTAGCCGAGGACTGCCTTGTCTGCTTGAACTTTGTAATGGTAGATCTGTATGAGTTTTCTTTTACTGATTTAAAACATAGTCCTTTAATTATTTTGAATCAAGTTTGGAATTTATTTATGACAATGAACAGAACTGAAAGAGATTAGTTGTCTGGAGTGTGAGTGTAACATTAACTTAGTGTATGGAATGTTTGGCTCATCCTAAAAGGACAGACACTGTCAGAAGATGGTTTCTGTCATCAAGATTCTTGGGTGGGCCTTAAGTGGATTAAGTAGGTTTGGACACATCCTCCTTTGAGTGGCTGGCTGCCTTCACCCGGCTTTCTCTCCTCTTTTCTGTTTGAATTGTGCTATCACACTAGGTCTGTGATTCCAGTGTTTATAGTAGGGCTTACTTTGTTGTGGTTGGTTGAGTATATATTCAGACTACACTTTCTCCATGGCTTGATAATAAAAGTTAATGTCACAGGCCAAGGAGACCATAGATAAGATTTTAAACAATTAAAAAGTGTGTTAAAAGAATTTTGGTTTAGAATAGAATTTAGATTAGATTATCTTTTCTTCTATCCCAAAAGATTTGTAAAAATTAAAATAACAGTATTCCTTTTTAATTGTTCAAGAGACTCTTCTAATGTTTGACTTGTAAGGTTTTTCATAGTAATTAACAGTAGTAGAAAAGTGAGTCCCTTGGGCAGTAGTTCTCATCTGTCCTAATGCTGAGACCCTTTAATGTATTCTCATATTGTGATGACCCCCAATTTTTGTTGCTACTTTATAACTGTAATTTTGCTACTGTTATGATTTATAAAGTAAATATCTGTTTTCTGATGGTCTTTGGAGACGCGTGTAAAGGGTTGTTCGACCCCCAACGACGTTGTGACCAGGCTGTCTCCCACAGGAGAGATAGCCGACCCATGAAAGGCGTGAGAGCATAGAGGTGGTGAAGAGCTGATTAGGGAGACCAAGTTTACAAGCAGGTACTTTCTTAGGAGGAGTAGCGTGGGTCTGTGACTCACGGAAATTTGCTAGCTCTCGTCTTTGCTTGTCTGTTTGTAGTCCACCTCATATCTGTGTGACTGTAAGGATTTCAGTGCATTTACTAGAAAAGTTCAGATACTCTAACTGCTATCTTCCTGAAAGATTGTTGAATTAGTGCCCAGCTTTTTAAAAGCAAGAAACTAAGGCTAAATTCCAAGCATTTTAGTACCTTTAAAGAGACATAGAAAAAGCGATAAAGTTTTAAATATCAAAACTAAATGATGTTGAGTTCTAATTTGAGTTTCTAAGTATAGGATTGTAGAATTGTATATGTAAGTACATGTATGCATATACGTGCAAATTCATGTATCCACTTGTTTCTATGTATATAAGTGCCTGTGTATGTGAGCACCTATTTATCTTTGTGTGCTGCACATGTATGTAAGCATATTTATTTATTTGTATGTGTGTTACAGGTTCATGATACAGTGTTTAAAGGTGTTAAGTGGTCTTGTCATAGTGCTACTAGTTGTATCTCAGACTTATGCTCTCAAAATATGGGGAGCATATATTCTCCAGCATGTTGTCCTAGACCTCAGTGGAAATACTTTGAGAATGTATTAGACATTCAGTTTGGTTTTTCTTTCTAGGTGGCAAAACAAGAATTAATTTGTTTTAGCCTTGAGTTATTAATTTTATGACATTATGAGGAAATTTCTGTGCTTTCCGTTTTCTCTCTTTTTTTGGTTTAGGATTTAAGTGTTGGCTTTATTTATTATTTTCATTCATTTTAATATGTATGTGCATGCACATCTCTGTGGGTCCAGGTGACTGAGGAGGTCAGAAGATGGTGTCAGATCCTTTAGAATTGAAGTTCCTGATGGTTGTATGCTTCCTGATGTGGGTGCTGGGAGCTACACGCTCAACTTCTGCGAGAGCAGCAAGTCCGTTAAGTTGCTGTATCATCTCTCTGACCCCTTAGGTGTTAATTTTAGGAAGTAAGTTAGATACAAATCAAGGTTTTGATTTTCCCTTTTGTTTAAGGAGTTTATATAGAAACTTAGAAACTTAGATGAATCAGTTGCACTTACTGCTTCTTAAATTTAACATGGATTGTTGTGCATGGATTTTGGGTTATGGTTCCTAAAGCACCTCTCGTGATACAAAGGCATGCTATGGTTCTCCGGTTGGCATTTGGCGTGTTAATCTCAGCAGCACCCTTGCTGGTTGTCTTTTGCTTGTTTCTCTCCTGGTTTTGTTTGCTGACAAGAAAATTTCAGTGCCTAAGGGCAGTGAACCCTTAAGCATATTTTCTCATAATATATGTACCACTTATAATTTCAATTTCTGCACACACACACACACACACACACACACACACACACACACACACACATATATATATATAT